TTGTTATCAGAGAACCGAGCAACAACTGAACCGCCCCGAACCCAACTGATGAACTAGTACTAGATTAGGAGCGGTTCGGTTGTGTCTGACACGGTCCAGTTATCTCGGTTACCGTGCTCGGACCGTTCTCAGCACGGTTTCAAATGGGTAGTGTTAGTGGGATTTATTACAGGAGAACACAGAACCTGAAGTCCTTCATCCAGAACCTTGGTTTTACAGCTGTGGAACCAATAAGACGGTCTAGACCAGCTCACTTATATAGACTTTTGTTTCTAATCTTATCACAGATAATGTGTCCTTTAAGCTGAGGTAGATCCACAGCTAACTAGCATCTAAGAAGGTGAGTCTCAGTCCAGTTGTTCAGTCCGAACCAGAATTTACTGATCTACATTCACACCTTCAGAGAAACTCTGGTCCATTTAAACCAGGTCAGGTGTGAATAAAACATTAGCATGTTTGTGCTTCTATTTACTACAAACTAAACACAGACAACGGATTAACTATAAAAAAGGAACCAAACTTGTTTAATAGTAGATGTTATGTATTAATTTATCTGCCTATATCTTAAAAACGCATCAAATCGTTTCCATTTGCTCCATTCCTGAACTGTGTTCAGTCAGAGGGCCGTGATTGGGCCCCAGGCTGAACGAGGAAATATTTTTAAATTCATGCTGATCTCACAGAAATTTAGATGGTGGCGGTAAAGAAGGAATGTAAACATGCTGACCTGAGAGAAGAACCGCTCATCGTTTAAGATGAACCTGAGCTTGTCTGTTTTTATTAATTTATTTTTTTCCCACTATACAATAAAATATCTTTAAGGATAAACTTGTAAATAAACCATCTATTTACTACAGCTGAACGTGATGTCAGCTAATTTACATCAACAACAAAGGCCAGTTTGTTCAATTCACTTTTAAAAACTACTAAACTATTTTGCATCCATTTATTTTTTTAACAGGTTAATACATTTATTAAGGATGCAGATTAATGTCAATTAAAAGAAACAAAATTCTGAACATCGTTTCTTATTTGACTATAGATAGTATTTTGACAGCCTGCTTCTCAGTGACTCCTGGAGATAAATAAGTTCATATCAGTGCATCACTACTAACCACTTCATAGAAAAACTGATATTCTTAAATTTTCTGTTTCATTTTACATTTAAAAGTTGCTTACAACTAATATTTACATGTTTATAAAAAGTAATATTATAACTCCATGGAATAACAAAAAGAACCAGTTCAAGCTTTATTTTTTTCCTCCATTTTCTCCAATCATATTGTTATGAATTTGACGAACTGTATTTGATTAAAAATGTTAGAAGAGTTGCAGTCTTCTAATCCCCCAGTCCCACTGTGAAGTCTAGAACCCCAACATCTATATCCAGGCATTCAGCAAAGATGCTGCTATGGCTGTACATCTTATTTTGGCATTTGACCAATTAGATGAGCCCTTGAATGATAGATATTATTTACTGTAAATAAGGTAAAAAAGTCCAGAAAAAAAGTTAAAAATCTAATTAAAATTCTAAGTTAAAACGTTAATAAGTCTCGTTAACAATTATATTTAGGTTTATGAACTAAAAGATCTAAGTGCCAGTATCAGCATTAATTTCTCTCAGGTTTTGTTTTACCAAAGAATGTTTTTCATGAATTTCTTATAGAAGCACTTTTGTTATTTTTCTTAATATATTCAGGAAATTAGCTATTTCTTATTACATTGACATTAATTTTTTCCAATCAAAATATCTACTTTTTTATGTTGCAAAGGTGATAAGGTCTTGTCCTGGATTCCAATAAGAACATTGGCTTGAAATTTGGATTTTTCAAAGTGTTTCACTGTGTGTCCTATAAAGGGCAGAGGTGTCAAGTAACAAAGTACAAAAAAAATGTACTTTAGTACACTTCTTAGGTATCTCTACTTTACTCCATTACTTATTTTTCTTCCTACTTCTGACTTCTACTCATTACATTTTCACTAGAGTATCTGTACTTTCTATTCCTTACATTTTTAAAACAAACGTTACTCGTTACTCTTGGCTTCGGTTTAATGTTTAACAATATTTATTTCAGATCATGTGTGCCATCTAATGCAGATCATTGGTTCCATCCACATCTAGTGAAAACTAGTGTAATTGGATGAGTCATATAACGCAAACACTCATTGGTTAGCTAAAGGAAATCATCAGAAGCAAGGAGGTGTTCTTCAAACTGTAAACATGAACTGTCTATGCCATGCTACAATGTAGGATTCAGAAAAAGATGCTGAAATGTCTAAAAGGTCACAGGCGAGAGCGTATCGGGAGATGGAGACCAACAAGACCTCCCTCATCCACCATCTCAAAGAATTTGTTTTAGAAATAGTTGAATAATTTAGCTTTTAATTCATATAGTGGCGTCTGGCTGTTTTTTTAAAGGTTACTTTATACTTTTACACTTTAAGTAGCTTTTTGGAGCACATACTTTTTTCACTTTTACTTGAGTAAAGAGGTCAAGTTGATACTTTAACTTTTACCAGTGTTTTTAAACTGCAGTATCTATACTTCTACTTAAGTAACAAATGTGGGTACTCTTGACACCACTGATATTAGATGGTTAATGGATGATCTACATATTTAAAACATTGGATCAACTGGGGGGACATAATCTAACTTAATTGTCTGTTAAACCTGCATGTCTGTGCTAATATAAGCAGGAAAACATCACAGCATCACTGCTTTCCTCTCTTTGTCCAGAACAGGGACCTTGTTTGATCTATCCTTAGATATAAATCAAATAAAGTGAGTTTGCTGTTAGGCTACAGACAGCTGCTAAAGCTAATGATCCCAATCTAAGCTAAGCTATTTATCCCCTGTTGGAGCCCAGTCATCCCTCAGACAAACTCTACTAGCATATCCTGTCTGGATTAAATCCATCTTTATTAATCAGATCAAAATCAACAGAATACAATGTGTTGCATCTATGCAAAGAAAAATCCAACTCGTTTTCATTGTGCAAAATGTTTAAATGTCCTTGAAAAAAATGCCAGAATCATCTTGCCTGAAAAATGACATCACTCCTCAGAGACTTGCAGCAGGAAACATAAAGCCTCAGGACAGCAACCAATCACTACAAAGAAAATTCAAAAACACTCTGTGTCAAGAAATGCAAAGCAGGATTCATGGCGATTGATAAAAAAAAGCAATAATAAAAAAATAAATAAAACATTTCTCTTTTTAGGCCTTTAATAAAAAAAACTGTCCAGATCATCCTGGAACAATCCTCCATGAAAACAAGCAATCAGATAAATGGTAAAAGAACCACAACATCATTAAAAATGGCGGTTTAAAATAGGAAAAACTACACAAAATCTAGAATAAGGGCAGCGTTTGCTGCCCGCTGATAGACTGAACGCCATAACAGTCAGCCAACACAGTCTGGGTGAAAAAAATAACAGCCAGGAAAAAAATGCAATAAAAAAAATACAATTAAAAAATTCCAAAGACGCTTCAATATTCAGGACAAAAAAATGGGAAAGATTGCCAAAAATCTCCCGTTAAAAATACTCACCAGGACCTTAAACACTAAAAATGAGAACAACTGAAAGCCTGCTTTAATTTGGAGCTGGATTATCCGCTTACTGCTCAGGCAGCACCTTGAAACTAGCGGACACGAAATGGCGTCGGTCCACAGTCTCCGACCCAGTTAGGCCCCACCCTCTGCGTGATGTCCTGGTTTCTGATTGGATATCTGAGCAGACGTGTTTTGGAAAAGTCTATCACCGATTGGCCGCTTTGTACGTGAGGGGGTCTGCCAATCGCTGCGTTTGACGCAAATGAGGGCGTGAGCTAGTTTTAGACAAAACCCTTCACAGAGAATTAGAATTAGCTGCTAAACGCAATTCAAAACCCTATTAGTTTTACAGTTAAAACAAGTTAATCGGAGGGAAAGAGTGTTATTAAAGAAAGACTGATGGAAAATGGAAAAAAGAAAAAAAAAAGGTGGGATGAAGAAAAAACAGGAAGAGGGTTTTATAAAACTCACAAGGCAGTAGAACAAAGAAGAAATGGAAGACGAAATAAAAAGGAGACTTACAGGACTTAATTATAAACTTTTCAAAGTTCAAAAACATACTACTGGCAAGTGGGATTTCTGTGGAAAATATGGAACAATAGAACATGTTATACTGGAATGTCATAAATATGAAAGCGAGAGAAGATATATGAGGAGAGAGTCTGAATGTATAAAGTGAAAGATGAATTTATTACATATTTTGAGGAAGAATTTGGGGAGTAAGCGTATACAAATAGTTATGTGATTTTTAAAGCTAACTAAATTATTTCCTAGAATTTGATTATGGAGAGAATAAATGTGTGTATGATATAGATGGGTAGAATACAAAGTTATCTATAAGTATGTATATGTATATTGTTTTTTTTCTTTTTTCTTAGAATTTATATATATGTTTATTAGTAGATAGTCCATCACAAACCACACTCCATATCACTAAAGTGGCGGTAATGCTACTTCCAAAAAATCCCAGAAGAAGAAGAAGCTAAAATCTTTGCTTCTTCTGAGCCTAGAATTTGGATATTTTTTACTTATTATTAAGCTTTAAAAATTACCACTCTGGTTGTTTTATATTTTCACCTAAATGGTTTAATGCTCTAATATTACACATTTATCCCATATGCATCAATATATTTATCTTTTTTATAACAAACAGGACGATATGTCATCCCTAAATGCTGACTAAAACATCAAACAAAGTCACATTTCATAGTTTTTTTCACAAAACTTGTGAGATTAATCTACTCTGTTTGATTATTTCTAAAAAATGTCCCTTGCTTGAATTGTTTTTATTTGGAATGATTTATTAAGAACTTAAAGTGCTGGCTCGTGACACATATTTGCAAATGTCTGTAATGAAAAAACAAGCTGACTCTAAAATCTTCTGACAATTCAGGACGGTTATTAAAGAAGTTTTAATTAAAAACAAAACAAAATTTTTGGGATTTCTTTTTTTTATCTTTTTAGCCCTGATAGATAACTCAATATTTAGACCTTCATAGCATAATTTCAAACTTTTATTTCAGCTTTGAATAATTTTGGTTAATTGTGAAATGTCCTTTGGTAAAAGTAATGTTCAATAATAACATATTTACAGATGATATATACATTTGCTTTAGTTAAACATCCCACAATCCTTTGGTGCATCACTGTCACCATTCATTGTCCAAACAAATAGATTATGGTTAAAAAAATAAATAAATCTATAGAACTGAATTGAACAAAACCAAATCTTTTAATCACTTTTAATAAGTGTTCAATTTTTTAAATAACACATTTCATTTCAACTTAAAGAAACAAACAAACAAGCAAAAAAATCCCCATGGAAATGACATTGATTTTCGATAAAAGATTAACTGGAAAATGGCCTGACAGCAATATCAAGGCCCCCCATAGTGTTGCAGTGACAGGTTATGTGACAAGCAACTCCACTCTACCCCGGGGTGACAATTTCACAGCTACATCTTAAATAACCTTCTCCATGGACTAAAAGGGGAACATCAGCATGATCACCACTTCAGTTTTCTTGATAAGGAACCTGCAATGAAAAACATTTGAATTCATCATATCAAACAAGTAACATAAATGACATAAAATAAAGGAATAAAGCTGATCAATCAAAAGTATAAAATACCCTGAAAGCTGGCCATCCTCCTGCGGTTTCTTGGCAAAGTTACATCTAATCTGGCGAGTGACGCAGGTGTTCTCAGCACCTCCTCCAGCCGACATTGTTCATCATTTTCCTGCATGCAGCAGAGGGGTTTATTCAGAACCTATTAGGGTGCTAGAGTATTTCTCTTTTCTCTTCCAATATTATAAGCAGTTAAAGTGGTTCTGGATCAATTTACTTCTGCAACCACATCTTACCATTTTATCACTTTGTTTTCCATTAAATGGAAAGAAATCAATAAATACAGTGTACTCAAACAATGTTCATCAATTTATTTCTTGTATATTTGAAGAGTTATGGAGCTAAATAATCATTAAGTGCTGAAATTTCACTTATGAAGTTTAATGTACAATTTGAGCCTTATAAATTGTGAGATTATGTCTTTAAATAAAGTTGAGTAAAACAAATAATTCAAACATCATTTTTGCATAACATAAAAAACATAAAACATAAATAAAACATAAAAAAGTAGGCATCCGAATTGCGAAAATATGAATTGGTGAAATGATCAGCTTTCCTGCAAACCGTACAAGCTGAAGACAACCTTTTAGGCATTTTACCACTTAAAGAGGATCAAGACCAAAAGAGACTTCTGTCTTAAAAGAAATATGAAAAAAATATTTTAAAAAAGCCTTAATCTTTTATTTATGAGTGTCCTTACATGAACCTGTAAACTATGGCTCATTTTGGATATACTACTATTATTTATACAGTAGAAGCCGATGATTATTTAAACAGGAAATCAAGTAGGAGGAGTGCATCAACCATAATCATCCCATGTGAAACATGCACTGAGAACATCAGGGAACGTAAAAAATAATTAAACATTTAAAAAAATTACTTCACAGCTTTTTACTACTTATACAGAAGTAAATGAGATGCCTCAACCTAAATCTAAGAAATGTTTGACCTTCATCAATGTTGACATCTCATATAGGTACAGCTGATTTGCTAAAACTACTGCGTGGGTCAGTTTCAGCTTTGTATTAAATTACCACATTTAATCCTTTATAATCTGTCTTTGTTAGTTTCTGTTGTTTGTGTTGAACTCCAATTAGTGTTGAACAGGGAGGACAAGCTCCAGAATTTCCCCAATGTGGGACTATTCTATTCTATTCTATTCTATTCTATTCTATTCTATTCTATTCTATTCTATTCTATTCTATTCTATTCTATTCTATTCTATTCTTTTTTATTCTCTCTAATCAACGTGGTTCTGGCTTAGGGCCTGCCTGCTTTAATTCTCTCTCTTTTATTATTGGGATTCATTAAATTTTTGAAGTTATTCTAACAGGGAGAGTTTTCTAGTTCTGTTTTTAGAAAATGTTTTACATAGAAACATCCTTAGAAGCACTCCCTCCTGTTTCTCTTTACCATGTACATACAGTAGTTAGCTGCTCCAATATAGATAAGTGTCCAATACAAACAACACAATGGTTGGAAATGCATGGAAATTGCATTTACACACAAGCTATGGTGGTTGTGAGATTTCAGTTGTTTTAGGCCAATAGAAAACCATCTTGGAGCAGGACTTAGTTTCAATTAAATGGGATTACCAAGGTATTTACTGCAGCTAAGATATGATTACTGTTTAACATAACCTCTTACCTGTGAGGCTGGGGTTTGCTGGTGTTTCCTCCTGCCCACTGGTGTTCCAGGGCCTGGGCTTTCAGCTCCATTCCTCTGCCTCTCGCGCTCCCTCTGCAGGAGCACTGCCTGCCTTGTGGACCTGTACTCCAAGGAGAAGTTGCTGATAGTTCTGCAGAAGTCCTCCGCTCTGGTGTCTCTCACCATGGATTTGGAGTACCCCAGGAAGAGAAGGAAGGAGTGGAACCTTGAACAATTAAAAAAGAGACAGAAAAAGTATAGGCTATGCATTTTAGAGAAAGATGTTGTGAATTTGGTTTTGTGTTAACCATCTGCAGCGTGCCTGTTGATAACCCGGCGGTGGACGGCTCTCAGGACCTTCAGCCTCTCTTCACACTCCTTCAGGATCTTGGGCAGCCTGTAACGGAGCGAACCCTCTGGAACAAACAACTCCATGTCATCTTTCCCTTTACGCTTGTCACCTTTTCCTCCTTTCTTCTTTTCCTCAGACTTCTCCAAAACCTTCAGCTGCTCCCATGATGCCTTGCACATGGCCTCCAGCTGCGCAAAGTTGGACTGGACTTGAGAGTAGTCGCACTGCAGAGAAGACGGAAATGTTTTAGCATGAATTTTGGGAAAGTACAAACTTTTGTTACTTTCCAAAGTACTCACCTTTCCAGCTTTGGTGACAGCGGTGATGTCAGAGTAGAGGTCAGAGGATTGTGGGTAGAGCTGCTGCAGGAGCACGCAGACGTGGTGCAACAGAGGCTGGCGAGAGTGAGTATCCCTCACCTGAGACAGCTTCCCCAGGTAACTCAGCTCAAAGCCTCGAGCCTTGGAGTGTTCAGATTGTCAAGCATTAATAAAATCAAACACTATGTTGAAAATGAAACCTAAAACTATCAATTGCTCTTCCTCACCTTACAGCCATTGAGAAAGTTACCGATGGCTAAAACGGTCGCTAGGATACACCTGAAGGTCTGGCTGGCTGCCAGCTGTTCCATGGCCAGCTTTAGGTGAAACAAGGGCTCAGCAATTTCCTGTAAAGAGAGCACAGAGGGCATTATGTGAATTCTTCAGCATGCTGTGCCTTTCAGTAGTTTTTCAACACTGTGAACTTTTTCATTTTTTCACATAGGCCTATATAAATAATCATCTGTTGGTGAAAATTGTCTATCAATGAGAAGTGGAAGGAAAGGTTGTTTTTAAAAGGTGACCAGGCATCGTTTTTAGATCCCCTGAGTCAGAATTAGCTGGCTTCAGCAGTTCTGCTCTCAGCAAAAAAAGGAAACAAAACATCTGGTGGCAAACAGGTTAAAGAATATGCTACAGTCAAAGATCATGGTCCACATTGAAGGTGACACAGTATCTGTGGTGAAACAGTAACCCCGCACATCACAGAGAAAACATCCTCACACTGTGAAATATGGCGGTGGCAGCATCATGCTATGGTTTTTCCGATAGAATGGAGTAGGAAACCAGCCAGAAGATTAAAGGAATTACAAGAATACTAAAGGAGAAGCACTTAAGAAGATAAAAGATGAGGACATAGGGACAACAGTCCCAAATATACACCTCTACAAAGACAGATTTCCCTGTAATTACAGTGTTTTGGGACATAAACAGCTAAACTGGAGACTTTTTCCTTTATTATCTCTAAAATAGCTCAGTCTCTGTCAAACTGGATGGTAAACATGTATTTTTAGCTGTTGCCTCCGATTCTTAGATTTTAGGTGTAGGTTTTGGGTGGGCCATTCAATCACATGGATATGCTTTGATTAAAATGTTCTAACGACTTGAGTCAGTTTCAGGTCTTTTTAAACATCTAAACATTAGTCCAATCTAGTTTTATATCTTGTTCTGGATTCTTTCTTCCCAGCAAGTTTACGTTTCCCTGCGGAAGAATGATCCTGCTCCTAGCAGGTTTACCATGACAATGGTATGCTAACGATGGGTAGTCTACATATTCAACCACAACTGAATGTTGTATGTGGACTAAAACATTTAATTTGGTCTAACCAGGGCAAGTTTTCATGTGTTCAATACTCGGCTCGCTGCCAAATCTGATCATCTTCTGCCTTTCTTTCCACTTTGGGTTTCTACTTGCCACTCTTACATCAAAGCTGCATCTGTTCAGTTGTGATCTTCATGAATTAGATTAATACCCATGGAAACTACTTCTACTGGATTTTGTTTTAAGTCATCAGATTAAATGAGACTGAAGACATTTTGTGACCCTTTTTTGTGAAAGAAAGCTAAAAAGCATGGATCTATCTTTTCCTTTACTCCCTTTATACATTTTGTCGGTCTGCATCTAAGATAAGATTGGATCTGATTGCTTTACAGGGAGTACTTTTGCAGGATGCTTTAAGTAACCCTGGTCATCCAGTTATTTAGCCACTGGCATTGTAGCCATCATTGTTTTCATCTACCTTCTCTAAGGAGTCGTAATCCAGAGCGAAGGTCCAGAGCTCAAGTCTTGTAGAGAGGTGAGGGATTTCTCCCAGAGTGAGGAGACACAGTTCAGCCTGGGCCAGAGGAGAGTGAGGGTTCTGGGCCTTGGCTTCATTAATCAGACGAAGCTCTTCCTCAGTCGGGACCAGAGCTTGAAGTCGCTGGTTTGGAGAAAATGTTAAAATAGATTAAGCTCAAATGACTTCAGGTCAATATTCATCGTCACATAAAGGTTAATGAATGGAGGGGGTGGCTGATGTGCTTTCTATACCTGGATGTCCTCTCTGTCCAGCACGCTGCTGTCCATACTGTAGATGGCAGGGGGGAGGAGGCGAGGTGGAGGCAGGCTGCTCAGAGCAATGGTTATGATGTTACTGCGCTTCATGCCCAGCACAGAGACAGATGACTGCTTCTGTGATAAAACACCACAATCACAAATGTATTTCTGTTACCTTTTAACATACGGGATTAAATATTTGGATCTTTGAATCGTTTTGGAAATCGCACACATTCTTAAATGGTTTTGGTTCTTATTAAAAGGACAAAATGTTGTAATTCATTT